CCCCCCTCCTCCCACCCCTAGGTTTCGAAACAACACCCTTGTTTCGAAACAACCCTCTTGTTTCGAAACGACTTCTGCAACATACGGATTGCCGAATTACCACAAGAATCAAGCACAGGACTAACACTCATGCTCTTACTCGTAATGCTTTACAGGACTGTTGTGAGGAAACCTAAGCCCAACTATCACTTACACTAAACTAAACTATCAAAAAACTCCGCCTCACAACAGTCCTTTCTGTCAAAGAAACTGGAGCGTTGCGAGTTCCTGCTAGTTGCCAACCCGCCTGTCCAGCTTCGTCGTCACCGGTGGCCCGGCAGCGGCCGCCATCATCTTCGAGAACCAGTGTGCGACCTGACAAAGCCGTCTCCTCTCCCTGTGATCATGTGCCCCACAGTCCCACAAGAGATCCCGAACAATGTGCGTGCCTGTCGCGACGGCAAAGAGAGGCTCTTCTCCCTCCTTCATTGGGCGCTTTTTGCCCCAAAAGTTAAGAATAATTGCTCCTAAAGAATCCGTCGAGACCAGAGGCATGGGGCGTTTAGATCCGGGGGTGGAGACCAGGAGTTACCCTCCCCCTACCACTCCAGCACTCCAGCAGCCGCGTAGGCAGGAGTCCCGCGGGAGGCCCGGAAGGGCGGATGCGGCTTCGCGTTAATGATTAGAGTGTTGGGTGGAGGAGGTTTGGCAAGGTATCCTACAGTAGCCGGCACTTGCACAGAGCTTTGTCGTAGCAAATCTGCGAGCTGCTGGGGTAGTACTGCTACCCGATTGCTACAGTCTCTCTGGCACAAAAACAGGAGCACCTTCACCCATCGGATAAAGTCGTCTGTTTCTGAGTGAAAGATGGCATAGCGGTACCTGCAGCTTCGGAAGCAACTTGCAACATGATTGCTAGATCATGGATCTGACGTGCCCTTCCAAGTGCTGCACAAACGAACGACTTGGCAGCATGGTTGAGAAGAAAAATGCCGTCATCCACCCAAGATTCAACCAGCCATGTTATGCACCACAGCTGCGAAGTCAGCAAGGACTGCTATCCACATAAATACCGCTCTGAGGGGCTCGAAGTGCTGCTTCAGAGGAATCCTCAGTTTTCCAAGAATCATGACCAGATACTACCTGCAGGATTAACGTGTCAGCAGCGACCAATAATGAGTTTGAGGTGCCGCACGCTGCGCGTGGTCCACCAACATCCCTTGCACCTCGGAAGATTTCCGCTACACATGCGGCAGTCTCGTCCAGCTTGACTGATGCCAATATGATTGTTTTTTATGATTGTTTGTACGGGGAGAGGCTTTGCACTTGGGAAGTCTGAAGCACTCTGGTGGTAAAGGCGCCCTTATGAGATGAAACCAGGGCGACCTTTTTGGGTTTTGGGTGCTGTTTGGTGGCAAGCTGAAGTGTGCAAACATCTGCAGACACGCCAGAAGAGCTTCAAAACTCTAACGAATGATGTAGACGGCTTGCACAACTGAAACAAGTCACATCTACATATCCTGGGACATTGTATCTTCTGCGCTAGTTGAGCTGTTGTGGTGCTGTGAGTGTTGCAGAATTCAGAAGAGGATCTTGGACATGTGGCTATCAGCATCAGGATCATCAGGGTCCGGTATATGTGATGCACAAAAATCTCACAAACCAAGTCTTCAACGTCAGCTTACCTTCTAAATCCTTCTAAGCACGAAGTGCATATCTGTGCCCTCAACCCAAAATAACCCTGGGTCCCAGGCTGCTCCACTCGGCTCAGTGTCACGGCGGAGCCCACATCCCAGCTGCCAAGCTCACTGCCTGTGAGAAACTCTACGAAGTTTCAATCTTGTGCAGGACGGCGACAATGACTTGTCCATGTCTCATCTAATTCGGAAAGTCGTGGCTGCTCCATGGTGGGCTTTTAGGTCGTTCACACTGATGAATGTTAGCCCAGCGGCAGCTGCCCAAGACTCGGACACTTTCAGTGGTTCCGACCTAAGAGGAGGATCTGGAGGCTTCTTTAGGACCTCCAAGCATGTGCAGCAGGCACTTCAATTGCAGAACCCTTACTCTTAAACTCCCTGCATGGTCAGTTTACTTGAGAAGCCTTGTGGAGAGGATCATCAACATGCATAGGCCAACCCTTTCTGGTGGCAAGAGCCAAAGGACCGGCGCAGCATCCCAAAAGCGGAAGAACACGCGCGTTCTTGCCTGAGACTCTCGTGCTCAGACAGCCAAATGCACGTACTTCAAACGCTTCCGTGCAAAGGCTCGCAGATGCATTGCAGAGTTTGAAACAAGCGTAACTGTACCAAGATGCTACGGGTGGCGCTGCTTGGCCCCCAGCCATTGCGCGACTCGAATTGACAGCCAACAGGCCTACTCTACTGTGGAACTTGGGCTGAATGCAACGATCGTGCCTGAAAATCTTGTGCGAGTCCCCTTTGCTTGCAGTTTGTCAGGCTGAGGTCGGCTGAGTCATGCTGCGAAGTAGTCAAGGTGGCAGCCCAATCCGGAGCCGACATGTCAATGTTTGTCATTAACCGCGAGATTTGAGCTTCTTGGCTTGCAAGGCAGGAAATTCTTTTGCGTCGTGGAAACCCGAATGGGCGGAAACCCTCACACTCTTCGAATGCTGCACCTGTTGCTGTTTGGCATCTTAAGCAGAACTGCAGTCGAAGAAGTCTGGGCGCAGCTTCATATTCATATCACAGCAAATGTAAACGAAAGCTGGTAGCTGATTTTCAAATGGGGTCTGGGACGCAACCAGCAAAGACCTGCTTTGATGAGGCAAGCATCATGGAAAGCCCACTGCATCCTATTGTCCCGTTGCATCTCGCAACCCTGAATGTTAAGGCTCTCGATCTGAGTCAGGCCAGCAAGGTTCTGACCGATCCATGGACGAGAGGTTCCGCAACCTGGTACTGCAGAGATTCTGTGTGATGGGCACGTTCCCTCTTCTTCCCTTCTCTCCTCCAAGTGAATGACAGGGTTCCTTGAAGCTTCAGACTTAGCCTTGAAGCTCTTTAACTTGTGGTCTTACAACAGCAGCCAAGAGGCAACTCCTCATGCTCCTCCCTTGTTGCAGGCACCGCCAGTCGCGTTGGCAAGGCCTGGAGACGTGTTCCAGTGCAAGATGGTGCAAGAACGTGTCAACTTCAGAGCGCGGTGCGCCACATTGCATCACTAAGCAGACGCTACCTCAGAATGCGCGTCGCACGAATCTGAGCACCTCCACCTGTGATGGTGGTGGTACAACTGGCTCCTGCCGCCACGCAGAAGTTAATTCGTTGTCCTCTAATGCTCCAGGGTCTTTTGATTGAGGCTCAGGCTCTAATCGCCTAGCGGCCGAACGAGTCCGATGACATGTGCTGTGATGACATGCCCCAAACCTGGATTGCAGGGCTACATGACGCCTGCATGATTTCCGTGCGAGACAGACTACTCCCGATCGTGCCCTTTGAATGAGGCAAACAGCATAGTTTACAAAAGAGATCGACATTGAACAATCATCTGCTGCGCTTCAGCAAGTGCTCCTGCGCCGCTTTCGGCCTCGATTGTCATTTGAGCTACAGTCAAAATTTCCTTGTATACTTAGTGGACCTGAGTCCTGATTGGGAAATCTATTTGGGACCATGTTGCACCTGCAAAGGGAACCTCATGTCCACCCTTGGCGGTCCCTTGGCAAGCCGAAGATTTACAATAGCTCACAGGTGACTAATGACAGCTTGGCGCACACCTTCTCTCCGCTCAGCTAATGTTGTGTAGTCAATCTTAGTTGTTTGGAATAGAGCGAATTTTCATCCCGTACGGAATAAGGACAGGGCAAAAACGAAACAATGGCATGCTCTGAAATGAACACCTGGGAACAGAAAAACTGAGCCCTTGACCCAGAAACCATGTCATGTAGATTCCGTCTTCGCCAGGAACCATCTATTTCTTACTAAGCCGCTTATTCAAGAAGCCCAGCAAATTATCCCTGCTTGGGGGTAGCATGCCTGGCCCAGCAGAATGGAACAATGGCCCTGAAAAAGTGTATGGAATAGTTTGGTGGACTCTTTGTTATTTCGTCTAGTTGTTGGGTGGGATCTATATTTAGAACCCCCAACTAAGACTCAACTCTATTGCCAGTCTTTCGGACTGAGCACCAGAATTCGGCAGGTGTCGTATCACTGAATGCCGCGTTCACACTTTACTTTAAATCATACTCATTGTTGGTGGGTTTATGGCCGCCGTTGCTGCTGGGTACTCCGCGATCTCTGGATTTCTGAAAAAATTGCATTGAGTATCATATTCTTTGCCCACTTTATATGTCCGTGTATCTTTGCCACGCTTATTCGATCTGGCCATGCGTTTTGAACTTTGATACCAAGTTGGGACGTGAAGCATCGGCGGAGCTTCGCACTAAGCTTCCAGAGCAGAAAGAGAGCTTTGGATCATCCAACAGCAAGCAAGCAGCAACTTTAGCAGTTCTTTGAAGTGTCGTACTTCGAGTTTGCAAGATTCGCCATCAAGTTTCCAACTCGTGCGAAGTGTCTTCAAAATTCTACAGGCCATGCGGACTCCGTTTTTGTAAAATCCCGCGCTGAAATTATCAAATTGGACGCAATCATCCTCATGGACTCGCTCTTTATCCTCGCGAATTTCCAGCTCCATGCAAACTTTGTACATGAGGCTTCTTCCGGTCTTTTTTCTCAAGTCTTTGAATGCAATAGAGGTTTTTCATGTATCTTTTTAATTTGTCTACTGATTACAGGATTTCTAACCTGGCAAATGCAGGCTGCTGTTGTTGCTTCCTCCCCCAGTTTGAGATCTCATTCAGGGTGTGCGGCTTGCTTGTGCAAAGGCATCTTGATGATTGCTGTCGCTTGTTGCCAGCGCATAAACTGCTTTTGAGATTGCTCAGGTAATTGCATCCTAAAGTTTGTGCCTGTCGCTGCGGTGATGAAGACTGGTCTGCAATTGCTCTTGCACCCTGAAAAAAACTCCTACCTGCCCTGCTGGGAAGGTTGGAAATCTGTTTCCTGTCTATCTAACTGACGCTTGGACAGGTTTTCACTTGGCCATCTTGTTGCGGCTCCAGAGATTTTGTATGATGTTGTGACTGTCTTCCACCGTCCACCATGCATGTATGAGTTGGTCGCTCGTCCGATCAGAAAACCGAAACTTGCTGAAGCAGGCGGTGTCGTCGGAAGCTCTGCTATCGCACCGTATGCAGGGCCTGCGTGGCCTGATGCGACCTTCCTTTCTTCGTCGCTCCTGGGCCGAGTTGCGTCCCGAGCCTAGTCCTGAAGCTTCATTTCGCTTCCGAGGCTATCTTGATGCTGTTTTGCTGCTGCTGCTGCTGCTGCTGCTGCCTGGCCATTTTTCTTTGCCGTCAGCTTCATGAAGAAACTCTGACTGATTTGAACGCTTTGAGTTTCTGCGAAGTTTGGATTTCGACCTGGGGCACTCTCACAGGGACTGGAGCAAGTATTGCAGTTGTGGCTAAGAACAGCAAAGGGAGACACTTCGGAAGCATACTTAGCGTACCTTCATGTCTCGACAGCTGACATAAAATTGCCTTATGAACTAGGAATGCGGGCCTAGACATTGCTGCAACCCGACCGAAAGCAGGGGCCAGGGAGCCGGCCGAATCCCGGGAGCCGCCTTCAGCCTTGGCAACATTAACTGCAGGCTCAAGCTACCGAGAGCGAGGTCATGTTTCTTTGGGCTCACGCTTTAAAGTTGGGCTCGTTTGCACTTACTGACGCTTGTTGTCTTCCATTGCGTACGTCCAAGGCAACTTTCTGGGTAGGTTCTAGCAATCTCCTGCTCCTGAGTGCAAGTCCCGAAGGATGCCGAAGGCACCGGCATGGCTAGCGGACTGCCAAGGGGTTGCATTCAACATCTTGGATTCTTGATGGTTTCCTGCCTAGCTGAAAATGGGGTCAGAAAAGGACTAGTGGCAACCTGTGATGCGATGTCAGCAAAGCGGAGAGGCATCTACACAGTTTCAGATACACATGCATGTAGTTGAGTGCTAAATCTCTTGAACCCCGCTACAACTTTTGAATGACCAATTCAGGCAAGTTCCCGCAAACAAACCTGCCCTTGCACTAAGCTGATTGCAACAGTTGCCTCCCTCATACCGAAGTCAGTGCTGGCCATGCCAGTGCACCAGCCTGCGTCTCGGACGACCACCGTAAGAGAGGACCTGGCAAAGGCCCCAAATTACCTCTACCATGTGACTGCTTGACTCCGCCATGACTCAGCCATTCAATTCAGCGAAATATTGGGCTGCGGCATCGTTGCAAGGCGGATGCTTCGGCCTTGGCAACCCTTAAGAACAATCTTCCTGCGGAAGGTCAAGCGCCCCTGCAAAGGCATGAGCATGCTAGGGCCATGTCATATCTTTCTTCAGCCAGTTTGCAACATCTGCTTCATGCCATGCTAGTTTAGGCATCCTAGCTTGACCTCTCTCAAGGCCACTTTGATTGTGTGAGGCATCGCGAGGCGAAAGCAGCGTCTGACTTTCCACATACAAGCATGGAAGGTGAACCTGCCAAGCTACATCAGAGCGCCCCAAGCTCCAGACACAATTTCTGCCTTCCTTCCCGCGCTTGCTGGTCGTGTCTGCGCAAGGGGCAAATATGAGAGCGCGGGCAATGTCAAGTTGCGGTCTTATGTTTGTCGATTACTTGCTGAAGAGGGTCAGGAGATTAAGAAGCTCCCAGCCCATGCCTTTTTGTCACCCCAGCAGCAGTGCCAATGCTAAGCAGCAATGAAGAGCGTGACCACTGCAGTTTCTTTGATCAATCTGCCTGCTGAAAGAATAATCCGCAAAGCTTTCGGATCGTGCTTTGATGTCCTCTTGTCTTAGCTGATGTCCTTCGTGCCCTAATTAGCGTACGTTCGCCTGCCCACCGGGCATCGCTGTCGGACCAGCCCATGTCTTGCGTTGTCGACATACTCCGCGTCCACGTCGATCTCTTTCCCAGGGCTCGGTGTCTGCTGCGAAAGCGGTTTCACTTCCACTTCCTGCGTGATCCTGGGTGCGGAGGGCCTGGGTGCTGGAGGATCTTGGCCCACATTTGCCAGATCTCCGCGAAACGTGAACCTGAGTTCTCGAACGATCATATGTGGCATCTGGCCTGCCCGCGTCAGGACAACCAATGTCCTTAGCACAAGCGGCGTAAACAACACATGCCCAACACGCGCTGCATCTCGTGCTGCACTTGCTTTAAAGCTGACAAATTGTGAGCGAGAATCTCAGGATGGTCTTCTGCAGCGCCCCATCAAAGGATGTAACCGTGTCTCCACCTGGGCTTGCTGGGGGGTGCTATTTGCGGTAGAAACATCTGAATGGGTCTGCTGCAGTGATGTTGCCTCGATGCTGAGGCCTCGTCCGCTTTTCCAAAGCTGACATGGCAAAACTGCCCAGGGGAACAGCTGGGAACAGCTCGACCTGCAGCGCTGCAGCATGAGACTTTGCCTCAACTGATGAAGCAGAGTTCCCTTCAGCAAGAGCAAGGCCGCCTCCGAGACATAGTAGTTGTCGCAGCGACCCTCCACAAACAGGTCCACACCTGGGAGCGATGGCTCGGGGTGACCACCATTGGCGGCCCGTGCTTCTAGATCCCTTCATGACTGGGACTCTGCTCTCGGGACATGTGGGCAGGGTCTGGCTACGAGTTTGCAGCGTAGGCATGTGCAGACACCAGCCCGCTGCATCTAGACTTGACTGAGCGATTTACACGGTTTTTGAATGTCAAGCTCTCAGCAGCTTGTGCTTGCTTGCAGATGGGTTTTCTTTGTGCGTCCGTTTGCAGCTTCTTGGGATCTGAGCCATCGGCGGATGTGGTCCAGGTGGGCTCCAAGGGCCACACGCTCGGCCACTTGCGAGAGACGATTCATGCAGAAGCCCTCCGGCTGACCGGGGCAGCAGGGAAACTAGATTCTGAGCATTGATGAGCATTGAATGCCCATTAGCTGTGACACATCCTCTTATCTTGCGTGCAGGTCTAGGTATAGCTCATGTTTTGCACGACTAGCAATACAGTTAAGCTTCATGTGAGGCGACACTGTTCTGGACTTGCCGAAGTATCCCCACACATGATCCGCACACGTCCTGGACCGTTTCTACCCAGCCATCCGCATCATCGAACGATGCATCACCTGACACGTGTCCGGATTTTCGGTCCCTGCTACAATCAGAACGGTTGAGGGTTGGATTGCCCATGAAGATTCATGGCATCTTTTGTTCATAATGTCCAGAGCAGCATGCTGTGTCTTATGTACACAGAGGTCGTACACGAACTATTTCTTTTCGCGCTGCGCCAAGGCGTCTTGAAATTCAAGGAGCTGTAGGCTTTGTCCATTGGCGAATTTGGGGGATTGTAGCAGGTGTCACCCTGATATGCTTGAAGAAACACATCTGAAGATGATCGCTCATGTTGCCGCTTTCGGCTTCTACACATTGTGTTCTGTGCAACCTCAAGCAAATGCGAAAGTGTCGCGGGTACAGCTTCTTGAGATGTTTACTATTGCCAGGCTGCATGCATGACAGATTACGTACACTGATACACACTGACGTTGATATCTGAGCGAAATGCGACGGGGACCTTCTGCAAATCAATCTGTTTCCGAAATTGTTCCCACTCAGTTCCTGAGACCTTGCAATATCTAGGCTGAGCATCTGGTCGTGACAAGAGGATTCGGAGTGCTCCTCGAATCATGCCAAGGTTGTTCCATCTGGCTGTGGTACGGCTTCTCTGGCTGTACCAGCAACTAGTCGCACCCCACCTTGTTATAACAAGCGAAAAGGCTTGAGTTCTTCTCTTCTGCATTGCCTAGACACAACACGAGGCAAGGAGTGAACTTTTTCTTCAAGTGCCAGAGGAGATCTCACAAATTCCATGCCCTACATATCACGTGTATGTTAATTGCGCCTACATGCGGGTTCTGTCGTGTGTTGGGCAGTTGCCACTCCTGCCACGCTGTTTGCTGCAGTTGCTTTTCCCCCCCTGGGTTTTGCTTCTGCTTTCTGACCATAGTTTGCTCGACACGACCCGAACAATCCAGCACGCACTGCAATGGGAAGGCAATTGTTCAATCGTTGGAATGCTGGAATGAATTTGCTGCCTCATCGTGTTTGTGGTGAACGCGCATGCAAGACTTGTTGATGGACCAGCGTCGTCCACGTGTGCTGTCTGCGGAAGTGCTTTTTTCCTTGAAGCATCTGGCAAGTCGCCGCACTTGCCGGCCACTGGGCTTTCAAAGCAGATATCTACGCAGCAATTGCCAACCTTAGAACCCTCCGCCCCATGAATATGGCAATGACGTACGCGCAAGAGCAAAATACATCTGCAAAGTGTAGATACTTCCGCACCTAGGTGGGTCGCCCAGATCATGTCAGTCTCCAGGACGTGCCTTAGCGTGACTCTCGTCCTTTGACGTGTGCTGACCCGACTTTAGCATCCTTCAGCTGGGCAGGCTTCATCACTTGTGGGTTTGTTCTTACATGTGTGGACTGAACTCAGTAAGGAAAAGGCAGGGCTTGAAGGACGTGTGCTGCAGCTGCCAGCTGCAAGCTGTAATACAAAGCAAAGAGGAACAAATCACATAGCTAGCGCAGAGGACCTGCAATCATGGTTACATAAATCTGAGGCCTGGGCCAACCCTTTGCGTTCACGCTCAGGTACATCGTTGTGCTTCCTATCCTGATTGTGGGAAACAACCATCTTGCTTTATTGCCGATAGAAGCTTTGCTCGTCTAACTGTTTATCACTCTGTTCCTAATTAAAGTGAAGACACACCAGAAAGCATCGCAAGTCACGTTCCGGGATATGAGCACAACGCCTTCCACACACATAAGAAGCAGACCATGCCGAAAGCCGGGCGAGGTAAGCTTACAGGCACAACAGACCATGCACATGTGGTCAAAATGGCAGCGTCTCGACTACCTAAAGAGTCAAGCCCTCCAACCAATTTGCCCCGCGGCCTGTTGATAGCCCACTCCTGGGCTGCATGGCTTCAGACTTTAGATTTGCTCGGGTGGTGCTTGATGGTCTGTTTGCCACTTCAGCCAGACTCAAACTAGAGAGAAACGAAACCAAGTCTGCCAAGCCACAATGGCAGTCGTCCGACCCCAAACCACATGAAAGCGAGCCTGCGTGGCAGTTGTGAATTAGCAAACGCTCTCCGTCCAGATTCAGAATAATATGCAGCCCACATGTGGCCAAGAAAGGCCTAGTACGTTCTGAAGGGGCAGCCTTCGTTGCCTAAGCCCGAGCTCATGAAATTGATGTCAGAATCAGGCCTCCTCCACCCGCCGCTTTGCAGAGCTACGATCCAGCTGCGCAGTGATCATCCGTTCCACCTAACGAATGCGGAAGCCCGTTAGCTCACTTGCTAGCAGTTGCTTCCAAGACCTCCTGCAAAGCGGTCACTGGCAAGCTTAGCGTTGCTTGTAGGAAAGGCGGCTACCAGCCATACCCAAGTCGAGCCCGCTTAGCCCAGCATCAAAGAAGCCGCGTGCTGTGCACGTCCTGTGTATGGGTTGAGATTTGCGTTTGTCATTCTGGAGTCCCAGCACCGGCTGGTTTACACATTCCCACTGCCCAGCTGTTTTTTTAAATCTGACGCGGATAAGCTCGGCAATGCTGCGCTGCGTGCTCGCCGCAAGTTGACTCGGGCCCCTGCAATGACACCGGGTCTCGCGGCTCGGACCTGCAGACACAAGCAGTTCTGCTCCATGGCATGGACTCCATGGGGAGTTTTGGATGGTGCCACAACGAGTATGATGCAGGTTGGAATGGCCCGCTGTGCTGCAAAAGATTTACATCAATCCTGGGATGTATGCAGTCTGCTCTTTGTGCCACATCCTGAGGGCGTGGCAGCCTGGCATTCCCAATCGAAGGCAGTCCTAGCAGTTGCATCTGCCGTGGGCCAGAGATCCGGGCCGATGCTGAGAAGAGGGATCCTTCAAACATGACACGCCGTTTTCACGCTCCGCGCCTGTTGAATGCCTCGTACATGTGCTGCTGGAGTTGCTCCTGTCAGGAGTGACAGAGGAGTCGCTTTTCCGCGCCTACGACTTTTCCTGATCCTCTCGCGCATGAAGCACATCTGCCTTGTCAACTGGCAGGCCGGCAGTTGGCACAGACGAGCCGTGCAACTGGACGTTGAAGGCGTACGAGCCCTTGCGTACATGGGCTTGGTGCCGGAGCACTGCATTCATGCTGCACAGGCCCTCTGCAAACCACAGCACAGGCTGACAAACCGGCTTCGGCCTGCTTTGACATGTTCTGTTGTAGGCCCAGTGGCCCTAAGTTTTAGTGTCAATGGGTATCTGCATGGCCTTATTCAGGCTACTGAGCCTGGCATGTGGCTCATGCGCAAAAGGGGCTTTACTTGCCGTCTGGAACATGCAGGGAACCGATCCATCCCTGAGGCAACCTGAATCCCAATTGGAGTCCCAGGGCTGGCGCGTTTTGAACCACGATCACGGACTCGCTCTCTGAGAGGTGGCTGGGCTTTACAACCTCGTCTTTTTGCTTTGTTCCAACTTGAAATCCTGCTTGTGGCTGGATTTCATGATGCAACAGGCGGAAAACACTTGAGCTCGCAGCGAA